ATATGTCCCTAGCCTATGTAAACCACAAAACTTATAAATTTCATTCCAAAACAAGCTGATTATAAATGTATTAAAGTATACTAGCATGGGGGTACATAAGTACTACAAAGATTTGGAAAATATTCCATTACTAGAGTATGAAAAGTTCAACAATTTTGGTAGTGTTCATGGAAAAAAAGTTCAAATGCCACAGGATAATATACCCCCCCAAAAAAAACTAATTATGAAAGTGAAATTGTCAAACAACTATTAATTTTTGTAAATCAATAATGATAAGAAAGTGCCAATAAACTTACACCACAGAGTCATAGTTATCTCTTCGGGATGCTATGTGTCTGAAATGAATGAATCAAACTTTTGAAAGTGTTATTTTGAACAAACAAGATGTTCTACTCAATTCAAAGTATGCTAATCTAGATAAGTGATATTAACAGTGATTTTTGTTTCACCTGTATCCTGATTTTCAGAAAATCCTATTAAGGCTTTTACCAGTTTAAGTTCAAAACTATGTAATAAATTATTTTGGACAAAACTGCAGTAATCAAGAAAAATTAAAAGTAATCAGTTTCCTAGAACATTTTTTATATAATAAAAATTAGACACTTTTTACAAGCAATAAGCTACACGTAAAGGCAGAAGAATATATTATTTTTAATTCCTGGTCTACCTTTCTGCAGGTTCATACAGAATAAATATAACACTAATCATGTACTGATTATCAAAAACACTTACAAAGGTGTATCTCCATGTTCATTTAAAGCTCCTAAGTCACAGCCTATATCAAGAAACAACTGAGAAACCTCCAAACACCCAGAAAAAGCTGACCAATGGAGAGCTGTATTTTCTTCCTATATTATTATAAAAATATATAGATATGTTAGTGCTTACTTTCTTCTAATCAACTTAAATTAACAAAAGCAGCTGAACACATTTTACACAAATAAAAGAATAATATCAACAGGTGATTTATTTTCCAATAAACAGCTTACAAATATCAATTATACTTAGTCATCCTTATCTTATTTTAATTCCTAACTTCAGTGTATCTGTTAAAAACAAATAATCATTCTCTCATACAGTGGGATAATTATGAAATATAAAACTTAAACTAAATTGTTTGGGTCATCAGCTTTGGGAATAAATGATGAACAAATCATGATATCATAATTACATTATGTAATTAAACTAATTAATTTAATTATTTAACCTTATGGTTATGGAGTTGAATCCATTTGGCTACTTTGGAGAATGATACACAGTTCAACTACAGTTACAATAACTCTAAGCTTTCATAACATATCTTCACAAGAATTTGTACGATTTTGTTGAAGATTACAGGTACTTTGCACTAAAAGAATGAGATTGTTCTAATTAAGTATTTGCTATTTTTATATTGTAGTTATTTACACTCAGACTCTGAATATTTAGAGTATTATCATCAATGTATTGTGCAATGAAATGTTTAAAATTTAAAAAATTTACATACTTACATACTTTTTAATTTTTCATCGAATAATCATAAAAAATCTTTCAGTTATATTCTTGATTGTAAGTTTTTACTTTTTTCCCAAATAGTTTGTTTTTGATGTTTTATTTTTTCTTTCCTGTCTTTTAGCATTATTACTTATTGCAACACAATTCAACAGGCATTTTTGAGCAATATTAGGGTATCACCAGAAGAGACACTTTAGCCTTCATCAGAACGTTGGGACAATTACCTACTCCACTAAATCTGATAAACCAAAGCAGTTTGGGTTATATTTTACAAAATTATTATACTTTTTTTTAATATGCATTTTAAAACATAAATAATACATAGCTAACTGAAATATAAAATTAAAACCTAAATATAATTTAATTGTCTATCTAACTAACATATATATAGGTGAGAAACAATGCTAAAGTGCTAGCAGGGACAAAAGCAGCAACAAAGATAAAAGCGGTTAGACAAATTCTCTATGTAATTCTTCGTGTCAATTTCAAACTGTTCGGAGATTGTGCTTTAAAATGTGGTCTTTCTATTAGTTATAAACATGTAGCTCAAATAAGTATAATTGGCTGAAAAATCACAACTCTGTGTGTAGAAAGTATGCATGGCATCTGTCAAGAGTTCCAAGAAATTTCTTTACCCCGAACATGCCCTAAGGAACTTCAAAGAGTAATGTGTAAAAAGAGCAATTAACCTAGATTCTATCTATATGTGGAAGGTTAGCTACATCAAGAAGTACTCAAGTTACAAAGTCCAGAAATTAAGATTTTATGAACTTTTGCATCGAACTGAAGTTTCAGAATTGTTTTTTTAAGATTTCTCTTTTGCAATAAAGGAATTAAAACTTTGAACTGTAATGTAAATTTTAATACTAATTTCATTGGCATACATTGATCATAAGATTGCTTAATTGAATTTTGAATGTAACAAAGTAAAATCTCGTGACATGAGCAGAACAGAGCCACGGGGTTAAGTGTAAGAGAAGAAATATATGAATTCTCATAGAGGTATTAACTCATTCAAACTGGGCTCGGTCCCTGAGACTAGCCTCATATCCATTTTGTGCTTGTTATAGTTTTCATGCTATAACTTTTAAATTAGTAAGCGAATGTTAACAAAATTTGGCAGATTATCAGTAAACATTACAATGCTTTCATATACAAAATATCAAAATTTTTTTATTAACACTTAAGGTTTGTAAAGCAATGTTTCTCTCATACCTTTTTTTTTTTCACATCTTGCCTATCTATCATGCAAAGTAGTTTTCATCTTGAC